ATCCTATTAACTTTGGTGAATCTCTGATTGTTCTTGTTCAGAACTAACAACATCCCATCAGCCTCAGCTGTGCTTTGTGTTCAATTCCAATTTGCAAATGTTAGCATCACTCCCAATAAGATGCAGAAACATTTTGTCTTTGTAGTCTTTGCACTCTTTGCTAATTCAATTCTTAGCAAATGAAGGTTTTGCCGTTGCATCTGCCTTTCAGCTGACATTTCATGGCGGATGTAAGATATGTCTTTGCATCCTCACACTGTCTACAGCAAACCAAAGGAAGCTCTCTGGGTTTGTGGCCTCTGTGCAGAGAATCGTTATTTGTTGACTGACTGCTTTCACTCCACTGATAGAACTCCCACTGTATTCGTCCTCGTTTCCAGCAGCTGTGGAAGGGAAGGTGGGTGTTCATGCTGTGCGTTGGAAGAGTAATGCAGTAATTAGAGGCCTCACAGGCCGTTTGAATGGAGCTCTCAGTTGCTTCGCAGCCCCGACCACTTTCTTTTTTACACCTACCATTTGTGATGACAACTAAAAGCGCCTGACATTTCCCTTGCTGGTAATTAATGCCGAGCTAGTGAACTTCCCCCGGTTCTAAGGGAGTTAAGACTTCTGTGTTTAATATACAGAGACTTGGACAGCTATCTTTAGTCCACCAGCCAGACACGGGGAGGAGGATGTGAAAGGCACCTGCAAGCATTAAGGTATAAGACTCCATATACTTTAGACCAGAGGTCTTCAACGGGGGGTTTAGTCTTATAAAAGGGCGCAAAGACCATAATGCTCCATCAATATGTGAGAAGGATCCGTTGACTTAAATATCTGACAAATTCTTAACACTGAATAAATGAAGTCATTATTGCTCCACTTCATCTTCTGAAATTGATTTCAAAACGAAAGTTTTCGGGGCTTTAACGACATTCGATGAACTGCCACTGCCTGAACAACCTGTGCAGGGTGGACCCGCCTTCGCCCAATGTCAGCTGGGATCAGCTCCAGCGCCCGCGACCCTGAAGAGGATAAGCGCTTTGGATATGGAATATTAAAATCCTTTCTCCACCAGTGTATTTATGTCAGTGCTTAGAGCATAACTAAGGGATTAAAATGTACAAACATTGTCTGCATCTTCATGAAGACAACACTAGTCCCCATTGCACAACATAACACCCATTAACACAGGATCATATAACCCTGTAGGAATATTACAGGAGCATAATGCTGAAACCACATGTGAACATATCATACACTTCACTATGGTTGGTATAAACATCAGTTTAATATTACAGTGATACCAAAAGATGTAGAAAAGAAGTAAAGTAGACTTTATTATCTTTAGTATGAGTGATACCACATGGGAAAGTAGGCACTAAGTCCACTTGTTTGCTTTCTGTACGTGTGTGAGCCGGTTAAGGTTTATTAGAGATCACAGTAACATCTCTGCTCTTACAACACGGGGCTCTGGGTGATGGTGGCGTTCTCGTTGTAGGCAAAGCAGCTGGGGAAGATGCCGATGCGTCCGGCACTGTGTCCCTCCAGCCACTCCTCATTAACTACCAGAGAGTTAGAGAGAGAAACACACAGAGCCAGTGAGGCTGAGAACAGAAACAAAAGACCGTTTAAGATTCCACTGACGAGCAGTTCAGTGTGGACCTCACCTTCCCCCAGGATGTCGATGGTGTCTCCTTCGCTGAACTCCAGGTCCTCTGGTCCCTGAGCTGTGTAGTCATACAGCGCCACCATCTGGTAGAGGATGGTGCGGTTCTCCAGTGGATCTTCAGTCTGAATTAATTGCACAGTGAGGGGAGGAATCGTTAATGAAAATGTTGTGTGGAAGCAGCGTGCGACTCTCCTGTTTCTAAGCACTGTATGAAGACATAATGACAGGGAGGGTGCTGAGCTGTATGCAGGATTGTCAAAGCTTCACAAACTGAATTGTGTGTATCCTGAGAGAAGACCGATCCAGTTTGAGTTGAAGTGATATGTGCTCTTGAAGTTGAAAAGAAAACATTTCTCCTGGAGCGTTATTAAACCCCTGCAGCCCTGAAGCTGATGTGTGTGTTGGATCCTAACCTGGCACCACAGGGTGGCTCTGCCAGCCTCGGCCACCTCTTGCACAGTGTGGCCTGGCTCCAACTTCTCACCGAGAGGTATCAGCACCCGGGAGCCATGCTGCTTATGTCTGATGAGAGAGAGGGGAGGGGGAGGGGAGGGGCAACATGGGAACAGATAGGAAGTTAAGATCGTCATATAGGCACACATGGGAACACGCAGCATTAAAGCAAGGCTCTGATGCATGCTATTTGCTATCAAGCCTTGGCATGTAATGTTTGTTCAATACTATGTTGCAGTTAACTGCTGCTGTCTATGGTCTCCCGTCACGTTGGAGGAGCTGTAGCCTCAGTGTCCTGTATGCCAGGTTCATGTGAGCTGTTCTTTAGACCCACAGGGTGGACAAAGATAAGAATAGTTTTAGAAATGAAGCGTCACTTGTTGAGATTCAAGGAGACAGAAGTGTGTTGGCAGGCCTGTGGTTACCTGAGGCGCAGCTGAGATGATGGCTGGCCCAATTTCTGTGCGATACGTTCCTTCACTTCATGGAAGGGAGTGTCCACAGGGACCGACAGCGCCATGGTGTACGTGTAGTGGACCTTCACCACCAAAGAGCTGGCCTCTGTTCCCTGAGCCACGCCCACATACTGAGAACAAGAGCAGGGACACATTGAAACACTTCTTTTCAAAATATTAATCTTGTCCAATCAGTGTGAACTCTTCTTTTAGATCGTCTGTCTGTCCTTCACATATCTTGAGACCTGCTCATCAGATCTTCTTCACATTTGGTGGCTGTATTCTTGGGGACTTCATGGACTGCTTTGTTGAATTTGGTGCAATTTGGTCAAATGATACATTCAAAATGAACATACTTTGAATAAAGAGGCGGAGCTTCAGGGATTGCAGTTCAGCATGTGGTCAGCAGCGGTTCTTTGACTGCAGTTCAGTTTGGCTGCTGAATGCTGATACAGCATGCAACGCTATGAATGCTGGGTAATGTTACAAGCCAACAATTGCTCACTTCTCTGGAGTGAAGGAGCAGGAACAGTGCAGCTCTAATAGTTTAGGTTTCTTCCATACTAACGTACAACAATGATAATGTTACTGCTGGCAGAACAATGTGCTCCTCTGTGTGTCCCACTGGCTGTAGCTGATGGCCGGCGCTCTCATAGTGTTGAAGTCACCACTGAGAACGCTGTCCTGACCCATGCGGCCCCTTCGGTTCCCCCTCGAGTGAACACTGTTAGCTCTGTCAGCACTGTTACGCTGTCTATGTAAAGACTTAGAGTGATGTCTCCCTGAACGGAGAATGAAGTCTTCCTCCCTCTCTGTGGTTGTTATCAGAGCTCCTCTGTTTGTGTAGCCACACATTGCTTTTAGTGCCTGTGAGCGTTCCCTCCTGACTCTACAGCTGTTTCAGTTTGAGCCCCAGGCTCAGGTTGCCTTCCTTGCCCAACAGTAAAGTCTTCTCCTGAACCACGACAGTGTATTTGACTGGTGTTTGTGACCGTGAGGAGCTGTGACTCGTGTGTGACTCAACTCTGTCATGTCAGGTGTGTTGCTGAGGACCAGAGGAAGCTCAGTGTCGAGTGTGAAGTTAGTATGAACCAGAGGCCAAACATTGGGCTCTGAACAGGCATGTTTTAAACAGGAAATGCACTTGTCTACTAAATATCACTTCTCCTATGTATTTTTCTTAACGCAAATCTAGAGATCTTGATGCAGAAGTCAAAAATATTGACATTGGCCATCACAAATATATAAGATATAGATTCTACAGATCAGGACAACATCTATTGTAGCATAATAATGTGTGGTGTGTGTAAGTGGTCAATGTTACAGCACTATGAAGCTTCATCAAGCCTCTGCATTGATGTCACTGAGACCAATACCCCCCCGCATGTGTTGTATGGGATTTAAATAATGATTCAATGATGCAATGAGGCTGCTGTCTGTCGCTGATTCTGTTCAAGATGCAACAAGTTGGTGCTCTCATTGTGGGCCAGCAGATATGAAACCTTCCTGATTAACCTCGGTATAGAGAACGTGTTATGTTGTGGTAAATGTGGAACAGGAACTGTGGCGTGCAGAGAAAGCATAACATTTATATGTGTCTACCTCCACTGAGCCTCATAGTGACTTCATCAGGACACATCAGCATTTCCACTGCTAAGTTTAACCTCACAAAGCTGTTCCTTCAGTCCACACAACCCTTGTGTGTGTGTGTGTGTGTGTGTGTGTGTGTGTGTGTGTGTGTGTGTCATCAGTTGGATGTATGAAGGAAATAGCTTTGATGTGCTTCCACCTTTCAGCTGGCACAGATGGATCAGAGGGGGTGTTACCTGCTCGGTGGCTGCGTTGGCTGTGTAACGGGGAGGCTCTGAGGCGAGCGGCGGTGTGTGGGTGACAGTGGTGTAGGATGGAGGTGGAGTGTCTGAGGTAAAACGCACTGCAGGTGAAACACAGTACAGGTACAGTCTGAACACAAACAATACCAGCCTAATGGAAGGTTAGGCATGTAGATGTTCTCACAGTCTGTTCCACTGTGCATTACAATGTAGAAGCACATACAGTTCTTAAGGGAAACACTTGGTCATTTTTCTTATCATTCTGACATTAATTGAAAGGTAATGGATATCAGCCTACTAGTGATCAAAGGGCCAAAGCATGTTTTCCAGTGTCACACAAGTCAATGAAAGCAATTGTCATAAACTGTACTTTGATGAGTGATGATCTTTTACCACCAATCAACACATTGTTCCATCAGGCAGGAACAGGGACACAACGAGGACACATGGACTAGTGGAGACAGGGTTCCAACCGCCAATCCTGACTGAAGGACGACCCGCTCTACCACCGAGGCACAGGACACCTCATGAATGGTAAGACCCAATCAAGTAGTGAGTGTCTACGTCGTCATTTTCAAAAGGTGTCCGTTTCGCCCGTCCAGATTTAAACGCAAGCCGGCGTTTTCAAACTATAAAGGCGTCGGCAGCATTTTCAATCGTCTGTTTTAGGGTTTCTAGAACTCCGGAGTAGTGTGGACGCAGAGGTGTAAACATAGCAGGAACTATGAGGTCGAGTATGCGGAACTCAGGAGGGTTATAAAGCATGCAAAGAGAGAACGTTGCCAGTTTGCAGTACTTATTATACTTGTGTTTTAAACTGATGCCTTTTGTTGTCGCACATTCCCCTTTGCTCCTGTAACACTGCACATTCATTATCGTATCTCTTTAGCTAACCTGCATGTCTCGTTTGAAATATAAAACAACATTGTGAATAACACCTTGTTCTTTGTGTGGTGAAACACCGAGCAACTACCTCTGGAACCACTGACACTGTTACTCAGTGCACAATAGATCAGCTGAACATGTAGACGCTCATATTTGTCTCTTGTTAAGAACACAATTCAACACAAATGTGAATTTAACTTTACTATAGTCAATGAAAAACATACCAGCAATTTAGTTCTAACTAAATTCTGTCTCAGAATGTTTCTTTATTTTGCTGTAATCACTACTAAACTACTAAATGACAGAAGTCTTTCCAGAAAATCTCCTGAGAAACAAGTGATCCATAAAACAAAGCTAACAATGTGTACAGTAGTTGTCCAGATGTCTTGCTCAGGCTATTTCCAGCCTGCTTCTAGTAGAGCAAGATATTGGGAATAAGCAACAAAATAACTACATGAAAAAGGCAACCATCTAGTGAAGATGAAGCCCCAGTGCCACACATAATACAGAAACATTATGATCCGTTATAATCAATAAGTGCTTCCTGGAGCAGATCAGAGGAGAGAAGGTGAGAAGGTCTCTAGAGGATGTTAGAGACAGAGTGGGAGGACCAGGACGACTGTGACCAATGTTTTACCTCGAGGAGGCGCTGCAGGGCAGGGCTGGGCCTGTGGGCGAGTGGGTGGCTTGAGTCCAGGTGGGAGAGGGATCCCACTAGGAACTCTCTGTGGAAGACAGCTTTTCTTATTAGGAAGAAACATGGAACTTTTTTCCCAGCAGGTAACTTAAGCAAAGTAATGTTGGAACAGCTCCGGCTGAAGGGCTTGACTCGAGCATTTAACAGTTCACAAGTACGTTCCCGTCCACACCAGTCTGCTGCCTGGTCTGATGGGGGAAGCCATCTTCAGCATTTTATGAAGTGCTGTCAATTAATCTCAAAACTGAAGCCCAGTCTGTGATTCCTTATCATAAAGTGTATTTCTACATTTACATATGAATACATTACTTTCTCCTTTTTGCCTTTGCACATCTTGACATCTGCAGGATCCAGCAGGGACATCGGCAGAAGTCCTCTCTGAAAAAAAAGACTAGAACTCAGAAACTGAAATATAAAAGACACTTAAAGTGAAATGCAGCTTTGTCACGAGCCACCAAATGCTCAGGATTGTGTCTGCTAATGTGAGGTTTGGATGGATGGGTGGATGGACGGTTTGGATGGATGATCTGTGCATATCTGAATAATGCGTTTGCTTTGGGTACACTCTTAGCAGGGATAGTGTACATAACATATACATTCAATAGGACCAAACAATAAAATGCATTAATAAAAAACAAAGCAATTACATAAAAACAGTTCAGGTTAGTCAAACATTTGTGTGGCGGTTGAATATCTGACATAGGTATTAGAATAAGGGACAGATGCCCTGCTGACCACCTCTGATGGAACAGAAGACTTAAATAAAATGTCTTAATTTCATGCCTTTGTTGAATGCAGAAGAGCGAATACAACTTAAAATCTTCCATCATTCTACATTCTTGGCTCATACTTTCATCACAACATATAAGGCAGCAGATGGAACTGAAGTGACATCGATAACAACTGTCGACCAAAGATGCAACATGTGAACGGACTTCAGGCACAAAACAGTTTGAACTGAATTTAAAGCTCCAACAATCATCATCCCACACATCAATATGAACTATCACCAACTCTGCAGCTCCCCCCACCACACAGACACGATGCGAGACCAGCTGCTGGAGAAGCATTGGTGGAGTATTTAGCAGCTGGAGACGTTTCCCTCAGGAGTGGGTGAAGACCAAACCAGAGCTACAAGAAGAGTGAATATTGAGCTCAATCACGGCTGCAGATGAACGCTAATGCTGCTCTGAGGCTGCTGGATCTGAACATTGTATAAGGTGACAAGGAATGTTGTGTTTTAAGCTTGTTCTGCATGTAGTGAAAAATAATTGAATGCAGCTTTAAAAGTTCTCCTCTTCTATGAAGCCTAATGGCTTCTACCGTGTTTTAAAGCACCAGAAGAGAAACGTGGATTTTTCTCAGGACACAACTCCATCCTATCAGTGGAGAAGATTCTCCCTCTCTTGGCTCGTTATAGATTCATAGATCATCTCTCTCCTCACCTGTCCATCATATATGACAGTTGCCATCCCATCCCTGCCCTCCTCGCCGAATATAAACACCATGGCCCCTCCAGGCACAGTCAGCTCTCCCGGGCCCCGAGCCATGTAAGGGATCCTCATGCGCATGTATCGAGAATCCCTTACGGGTGGTGAGAAGAGAAAATCATACTTCTACAAGCATTATTACTGAAATGTGCTGTTGAACATGGCAGGTACATAATATGTATATGTGAGTGGTGATGGTACTCACTGAGCTCCATCCACCTTGGGCTCATAGAAACCAGGTTTCTGTGGTGAAGACACAGTGAGAGTTAGCAAAGAGAGTGACTGACAACAACATCATGGACTCTGTGGTCCCTCTGTGGTCCTTCTTACCTGCAGCCTCAGAGGTTCAAAGCCTCCAAAGTCATCATTGGGAATCACAGAGGAGATCACCTGTCATCAGAGCATCATGCATTACTGCAACATCTTTGTAACAATTTCTCTCCCACTTCTATAGAACAGTGACAGTTCAATCGTCTGATCATACAGCCGTGATACAGCATTCATCATGGGGACTCTTCACTGTACCTTTGCTTTGCCCAGGAAGTCTCTTTGCTGCAGCTGCTCCACGTCCTGTTTCCTGGGACGGAACACCACATCCTCCGGCACCAGGAGAGGAGCCAGCACCACCTCCTTCTGTTACGAGAGTCACAGCCAACACCAGGATCGTGTGACTGTACTGGCTTAGATTTCTTTGTTTTAGTCAGTCAGTCAATATATTTAAGACAAGCCAGAGAGGAGCAACGGATTTCATTTTCTCTATGAGTCAGCTCCGACCTGAACAATTTGTTTTGTGAACCAGTTGGTAAATAGCTTTATTAGAACGGCCATAGCATGAAGACTTAAACTGATGGTAGATGGATTTGTATAGCGCTTTTCTGACCACTTAAAGCACTTTAACACTACATGTCATCATTCACCCATCTATAGAGTGATGGCAGGGCTACCGTGCAAGGTGCCACCTGCTCATCAGGACTATCTAATCATTCACACACACCGCAGGAGTAATTTGAGGTTAAGTGTCTTGCCTGAGGACACATGGACATGGACTAGCGGAGTCGTGGATTGAACCGCTGATCCTCTAATTGAAGGACGACGCTGCTCTACCACTGAGCCACAGTCGCCACTAATCGCTCAAAGACACGATGAAATGGGACTAAACACAGTGAGATATCATTCTACAGTCAGCAGTGGTGGGCTAATGGTTAAAGTAAATCTCCCTCATTACCACCAACCCTCACTGCTCTACTGGAGCAGGTCGGACTGAGAGAGAGCAGTCAGCTCTGCCACAGAGAGCTGGGCTCTCAGTGACACTTCCCTGAATAAGAAACGGCGAGAAAAACGAAGCGAAAAGTTGCTTAGAGGAGGAAAGATGATCGATCTGATGAATGTGTGAAAGCTGGTGGACAGGAGGAGTTGAACCGGGAACCCTGCGCTTAACGAACCACAGTCATCACAGGCTAGAGTTTGGTCCGCTTAAGAAATCCAAGTTGAGCAGCAGTGGCAGAGGCCTAACAGACAGCATCCTTCATTACATCCTTACTATCTTTAGGGGCTTTGGCTCAGAGCTAGAGAGGGTCGTCCTTCAATCGGTGGTTCAATCCCCGGCTCCTCTAGTTCATCTTCAGGTTCCCTTGGGCAAGACACTTAACCCCAAATTACTGCTGTGCCATCGGTGTGTGAATGATCAGTTAGTCCTGATGGAACGTGGCAGCTTGTATGGTAGCCCCTGTGATCGGTGTGTGAATGGCACTATACAAGTACAAGTCCTTTTACCATTTACTTATACTCACTAGCTCAATAACTATACAGCATCATGCACAGCTGCTGCTGCATACACCACCTGCACTCAGCATTCATGGGACTACCTGATACGAGAACACCAGCATGACCAGACGGAGCACACACAATGATTCACTGTTTTAGACGAAGTTGAAATGAGGACAGACACAACGTTCCTCACTTTGGACAATCATCCTCATCTTCATACATAAACATTGCAGGGGCAGTTCACTTTGGACATTTGTCCCCATAGTCTGTCCCATGTCCTTTCCAGTCTCTTGTGAAAGTTGTGACACTCACCTGGACGCTGTCCAAAGCCACCTCTAGGTTTCCCCCTCGACCTCCTCCTCTCTCCTGGGAAGCTGACAGCAGCACCTCCCTGGCCTGCTCCCACTGGCCCATCCGACAGTACACAGCTGCTGCATTATACAACACCTGGGCGGACACATCACTGTCAGACACGCCAGTACCATCCCATTCACATTCCTCTTATTTCTAATGTTGTGTGAACATCATCATTTACCACAGTAAACTGCCTGTATGGGGCCAGTAGCAATGATTCATTACTTATCTAACATGTACGTCTTTCTGGTTTTGGTGCTTTGAAGTTTTAAGACACTGGAGGATGAAGCTCTCAGTAAACACGTTTCTGCTACAAAGGCTGAAAAGCAGCATTGTTATTCAAGGTGATATATCTGTGCAGTGCTGATCTCACCAGTTTCTATACCTTGAAGAATAACACTTTAAGTGTAGCATGGGGCATTATGTATTCTATATTTTGGATATGTTGGTCTCAAGTGATAAACGAAGTCTGGTTCAGATGGATGTGTTGGTCTGGAGTGTTGAGTGAAGTCGGGTTCAGATGGGTGTATTGGTCTGGAGTGAGTGGTGTTAGGTGGACTAGGCTCTAGCTGACTGGCTGCACACACAGGTGCATGGTCTTATCTGTTCTGTGAGAAATATGCAGTGCTGTGTATCCTCTTCTTCGGCCTCCATCAGTAAGGCTTTGTAAGCTTCCAGGTGTCTGACTTTTGTACTAAACAATGGAGGTGATGACAAAGCACAGTTTGCTCTGGTTTCATTGCTCAGTACTGACAGACATCATGGGATTAGATGTGTGTGTGTGTGTGTGAGGCTGAATGTCAGACCTGCCAGCTGTAAAGTTTGAATCTCAGTCCCAGCTGTTTGTAGTCAATGACCGTGTTTCCTCTCATGTGCTTTTGTGCCCAGATACAATCTGACAGAGCCTCCTCCAACCTGCAGAGACAAACAGAGAGACTGTCTACAGTTATACACAGTAACCCAGCAGTGAGGTTTTTAAAGGGCTGCTATAGGTCAGACATTTTCTTTGTCACGCACAGTAATTTGGTATTCGCTGGTTGCCTGGCAACCTCACAGTGATTAAAAGTCTCCAGGAGACGTCTGTGCATAGCAAAGAAACACTCCTGCACATAACCACCCATACAACCCAACATATTACATTCTGATCAGTGAGCTTTGGAGGTGCAAGTAAGAGCCAGGCCTGCTGTTTGCTGTAGTGATGCCACACTGAGCTAACCAGCTGCTAGCGGTAGCTTCACATTAAACTGCACATATGAGATACGAGGGCCAATAAGCCATATCAAATCAAACTGCCCATCTTTCTGCAGTTGAACATAAGACTTCCTGTTGCAACAGGAATTACATCACAATAAGAAAACAACAAAACATTACATTTATCCTTCAAAGCTAAACTATGCAGCCATACAGCACACCCGTCTTCTCTTCATTTCCACAGATTATCTAGAGTTAGTTGCGTTAACAGTAGTTTTAAAAGTTACATCATCTCTCTTTGGTGTACCGTTGACTATAAGTCAGTCTTTGGGAAGAGGTGCTGCCACCTACCTGTTGATCTGCATCATCACTGCTGCTCTCTGAAAGAAGCCAACAGCAAGACGTTCGTCCTTGGCAATGGTGAGGTCTAAAGCCTGGACATCAGACAAGGCAGAAAGACAAGTTGAGGTTGGACATAAACGGGCGGAGGTTTTAGAACATTCAAAGTATGGACAGAAGCCCTTCCATTATCCCCAGTACACACAACACACGGACCTTCAGGGCCAGGTCCAGCTGTCCCAGGACCAGGTGAGCGGAGGCAGCGTTGAACAGAGTGCGAGATGTTGGTTCACTGATCTGCTCCAGTTTGCACAGAGCTCCTTGCCAGTCCTTGGCATCCACCGCCTGCACCGCCTCATGCCACAGCTGCAGAAACTCAGTGTACAGCATTCTGCACAGCAGAGACGGGAGGAGGAAATACAGAACAGACATGAACAGACAACAGAGGATTCTATCTTTGCTTTGGGGTTTTTGAGAGTTGTTCTAAATGGTGAGAGATTAAATAGATTCATGTCTGTGACTTGCTGTACAATATAAAAGGGCTTCAAAGTCCACTGCAGATGAATTTAATACAGAAACAGAGATGAACCACCGGCTCATTGCAAGTAAAGATGCATCATTGATCATGCTGAATAATTAAATAATACCTTCGCTGAAGCAATATGCAGCATTCAAATCATTTTACCATTTATCTGAACCCTTGATAGGATGTTACACTCCGTCGTATGTACATCAACGGTGCAAACAACAATAATAACGCCGTGTTGATCATTTGCAATAACTGTCCATACGTCTACATTCTGCACTGTGGCAGTAGATGATCCTCATCACTGGATGTTTGGGTCGTTTTCTGATGTGCGTCATCTGCATCTCTTTCCTGGTCCAGTTTAGTTTTCTTTCTTTATTTTCATTTTCAGATGCTATACTTCATACTTTAAGAGAATGTAAGTTACACGTCTTTGCAAACGTAAGTTGAATATTGTTTTGCGTTTGTAAAGCTTACAGATATAAAAGTTGCCTCTTTACAGGCTTCTTAAGTGTAATTCTTAGAGTATTGATAATCATAGGCCCGGCTCTTATGCGTGGATTGCTGCATTTGTCTGGAAAGTTTATTTCATGTAATGTTCCACATCAGGCCGACAGACTGTTCTCTGATTATCATTACTGATGCATTTAATGCAAGTAAGCAACATTCTAACATTGCAGCTGCTCTCAGGTAGAGTGACGTACATGTAGGCTGGAACAGAACAAACGGGTCCAATCTTCACCGTAAACTGTCTGATTGTAATAAATTCATACAAATGTATAAAACGACTACAAGACAAGAGAAACCTACAGAGAAGGTGAGCCGATGTTAATCAGTAACATCCTAACCCTAACCCTTCCGTGTACCTTACCCGCACATGCTGTTCAGCTGAGTTAATACAAGCTGCATAGTTTATCAGAAAACCTTTATGAATCCTCAGACGGCTTACCTGTTGCTCCTAAATGAGAGTCCAGTCAGTGTTCAGTGTTTGTAGCAGCTGTCCTGCTGCCTTCACACTCTGCCAACGGGGAAGTGAGAGAGACTTAAACAGGCCTCCTTCAGAGTCTCCACCCTGCTGCTACAAGGAAGTCCTTCATCCACCTGCCCGGATTCCACAGAGGCACCCGAGCTCTGGAATTCACCTCATGACAACATCCATACATGAATCACACAGGTCTGGATTACACAGGTTAGACCTGGAATGAGTTTCTTACAGCAGACGCTTTGTTTGGGAAAGTATGGCAATTATTTACACAACTGTTAACATCTAAGCATTCTAACCTCTGCTGCACAGTGGTCAAACTTGTTTACATTTTTAACAGTACAAATAAACTAATGACCAAATCACGGCAGCTAAATTGTAAATCAAAGGAAAATGTAGCCAACTGACGTTATTTTGTAAATGCCCAAAATGTCTGGCAGCGTTGGCATGCATGATAACCCCCCCCCACTGCATGACCGTAAGGACAGTGGACATAAAGAATATCTTACCAACTCTCATTATCTGACCCAGGGAGTCTATTGCAGAAACTTTATGACTTCATGTGTTATCTGAGTAAAGCACCACAGAGGTGAAGTACAGGTGAGTCATCTTTATGCTGACGCACTGACAGCAGGAAGCTTTGGTTACTATCTCAGGTTGACAGACAATAACTGAGATGGTTTGAATGAAGTCCATTCAGAGTGACCTTGGACTTGGACTTCCTTTTACAAGGAACGTTTTAGACGAGGAAGTCAGGAGGAAACGGTGCAGTTGTCTTGTCCTCACTGCTCTTCTAACATAAAGTGATATGGTTGGTTTGGTAAGAAATGTCATCATGTTTGGGAACAAGGAAATGATCTGTCAATGGCCTACTGGGTCAACCTGCTACACAGGTTGTTTTGTTTTGCAGTGTGGCCCCACCCCCCACAGACACTCCTCTTATAAAGTCAGTACTGCCTGGCCAGTGGTGGGAAAAGGATTAAAATCCTTTACTTGAGTAAACATCGTGGTAAAAATACTCCTTTTCCTGAATTAAAAAATAAACTTTGAAATGATAAATAGACTGTACTTGTGTGGGGTGCTATGCAAGGTGCCACCTGCCCATCAGGACTATCTAATCATTCATACAGGAACAGCCTACGGGAGCAATTTGGGGTTACGACAAATCACCGTAGGCCTACTAGCGGAGCCAGGGATCGAACCGCCGATTAAGTTAGTTGTTTAAGCACCAAATCTGTGGTCGGTTTGTCAAGATTCAGCCGAATTAAGCGTCTGCTCCGACGATTTAGGAGATGTGAGGTGTTGCTAGCGGGGCCGGCAGTAAACCAGCACCGGGGGGGGCTCACGGTACCCGCCGAGAACAGCCTTATCTCGGCAAGTCTTGCCGCTGGTATTGAGGTCTCCGTAGCGATCTGATCCATTTATACGAGTTTACTCTGGTTCTTCACTGTAAAGTATATAGATAGATAGATATGTATTTTATCAGGTTAATATTATCGCGTTAACGCATTAACGCATTAATTAACTCCGACAATTATTTTATCGCACGTTAACACAGTTTTTTTAAAATGCAATACACGTTGATTCCAGCAAATCACCCAAACAGACAGTGGAGGGAGGCTTCAGCAGACACGTTGACGCAGCGTGTGGGAGAAGTATAGATGAACAAAAGCAAGACTGTTCGGTATGGCCCGTATCCTGTGCGCATGGCCGTACTGAGTGCGACTGTACGGCGGATCCGACCCGGAGTCGACTGCTATCTGGGAAGCTAACAAATGCTACAGCGAAGTGGATACAAACTGCAGCCGATTAGTGTTGTGGAAGATGTCGGTCTGATGCCGTGAACGCACCTTTAGGAACGTCACGTCACGTATGAGCCTTAAGACGCACCGTCACCAGAAGAACACACGAGTTGTATTAAAGGAGAGGACGACTAAAGCGACGGCGTTACAACGTGCAGCAGCTGCTGCTCTCACTGGGGACTACTGGACATCGCTGGGTCACCATCATCACCTCTGAGTTACAGCATCATAGTGATGAAGAGTAGAGCTGG